TCCCTATTGGAATTCCTTTTAATTATTTCTCTTGTCTGATTGCATTGGCTAAGACTTCCAGTACTATACTGAATAGGAGCAGAGAAAGTGGGCAGTCTTGTCTTGTACCAGCTTTTAGTGGAAAAGCTTTCAGTTTTCCTCATTTGGTATAATGTTAGCTGTAAGTTTTTCATAAAAGGCTTTTATGATGCTGAGAAATGGTCCTTCTATGCCAATTTTTCTGAGAGTCTTGATCATAAAGGAATGTTGTATTTTGTCAAATGCTTTTTCCACATCGATTGAAATGATCATATGGTTTTTATCTTTCTTTCTGTTAATATGGTGTATTACATTTATGGTTTTGTGTATGTTGAACCACCCTTTCATTCCTGGGATAAAGCCTACCTGGTCATGATGAATAATCTTTGTTATATGTTGTTGAATATGCTTCGTAAGTATCCTGTTGAGAATTTTTGCATTTATATTCATCAGAGATATTGGTCTGTAGTTTTCCTTTTTTGTCATGTCCTTATATGTTTTGGAAATGAGGATGATGGAGGCTTCATAAAATGAATTTGGAAGGTTTTCTTCCTTTTGGATCTTTAGGAATAATTTTAGATGAATAGGGGTTAAGTCTTCCTTAAAAGTTTCATAGAATTCAGAAGTGAAGCCATCTGGACCTGGGCTTTTCTTTGTCAGGAGGTTATTTATTACTGATTCAATATCATGGCTTGCTATGTGTCTATTCAGGTTTTCTATGTCCTCCTGATTCAAATTTGGTAGATTATATGCATTCCGGAATTTGTCCATCTCCTCTATGTTCTCTTGATTGTTGGCACATAGTTGCTCATAGTATCTCTAATGATGTTTTGTATTTCTATTTTGTCTGTTGTAATGTTGCCTGTTTCATCATGTATTTGATTTGTTTGGTTTCTTTCTTTTTTCTTTATCAGTCTAGCTAATGGTATGTTGATCTTGTTAATCTTTTCAAGGAACTGGCTTTTGTTTTCATTTACTTTCTGTATAGTTTGCTTATTTTCTATTTCATTTATTTTTGCTCAGAATCTTTATGATTTCTTTTCTCCTGGCATTTTGCTTTTGTTCTTTTCCAATTGCCTTAGGCATAACGTTAGGTTGTCTGTTGCCACCTTTCCATCTTTTTTTTCTTATTTGCACTAA